TGACTATGAGGTGATACTCAGCGTCAGCTCTCAAAAAGGGCGGTCTAGTAAACTAATACCTAAATTCGATGGACCATGCAAAGTAGCGGAAGTTCTGAAAAATGACACAAATACCTTATAGAGGCAACTGTTCATTTACAAATTTAAAACCTTGGTACGAGTATAGAAAAGATAAGGAGAACTAAGTCAATTGTATGCTATTAGGAACTTTAATTTAAGCGCCACATGTATTTTAACGCCGTAGAATCAGGATATACTATATGGTCAGGATGGCCGCGTTGTAGGAACCGGTGAGATTAATAGCAGACATACGTGTGCACGTACCTTACGAGTTTGGCCTTAAGTCATAGTCTAAGCATGCCATTATTTATAAGAATAGTAATTAGATGGCAGCCCTAGTTTTAAGACCTAACAGCAAGTAGACTCGTTGCATTAGTATAAGGCTCGCTATATTCGCCCATATTTTTTTAAATAAAAGAACGGTTGAATCACTCAATATGTTTTGATCGCCCAAGAGAAAAGTACTATTTATTCAATACGCTCGCATCTTGCACTAGCAAATCAAATTCTCTTTCATTGGCGTACAATCAAAATAGTACCCATACCAAAGGAAGGCAAAGACCTCTTATTCCAGTAATGCTCAAAATTATCAATTAATGGTTTCCTAGACTACAACCAACTACTCCCAGACACTATCTTGGCATACAGGAAGAACATGTGAACATCAACATGCCTTAATCAAATGTTTCATCAGTTTCACAACAAAAACAAGGAAGGAGTTACAAGTAATTTTATGTACCAGTGATATTTCAAAGGCATATAACTGTGTCAATCTCATCACTCTCAAAACCTATATATTGAATGGATAATAAATTTCTTGTCCCTACGTCAAACCACCTCAAGGTGTTGTGCTGTCCACGAGGATCTTCAATATCTCTCTAATATCCAACATGCACATATATCAGTGTGCAGATGACTTACTCATACTTTCTAAAGGATCAAATTTTCTGGCTGCCATAAACAATTTGCAGATCAAACTAAATAAATTCATTAATGAATGCAAAACTCTTGACTTAAACCCCAATCTAACAAAAATGTAAGTAATGCAAAAGGAAAAGGATTAAACAAAACGATTGGCATCATAAATAACAATAGGAGCATCCGACAAGTCACCGAACACAAAATCTTAGCTGGAACGCTAAATAGATCCATGACTTTCAGTGACCACTGTACCACGGTGCGTGAATCCATGAATGGAAATTTCAAATATCTAAGCAGCATCAAATCAGAATTGCACCCTCAGAAAGCCTTAAACATATATGAGTCTCTGATACGCTCCAAAATAGAAACCTATTGCACAACAGCTGCAATTCTCTCTCAAAGTACAATAATATTATAAGATTACGGTAATTCAAAAAAAATATTCATCCCAAGATGGCCTCACTCCATTAGCGATTTGTACGCTTTCAATGGAGCTTCCTCCTACTGAACGTGCCTTATGATTAACCGCCAAGGAGCTAGTTAGAGCTTTCATTTCCAATAAGGGCTTTGCTAATTCCATCATGACTAATTCCAATGTAAATTCTAGTTACGCAACTATGTATCGTCAATATTGGCACATTTTTAATTATCTGGATGAAATTAACTCATACTCAGTGACCTCGCACGTCAAGATCTTGGACAACAGTACGGATGATTCCGTTTCTGACAACAAAACTAGTTGTTGCATCTATGATGCCTGCGAAAAATCAAATGATTGCAATCAAAGAAGCAATTGAGATTGCCTTAAACAAAAACTATCCTAAACTCGTAATTTCTACTGAACACCTTACGCCTACAGTACTCCTCCGCCTCGCTCCGCGTTTCGACAAATACCGCCAGCCAACACCATCATGCGAAATCAGCCCCAGCGGGCATTACAGCAGCAACACACTCCATCCACACATCACTCCCTCACCCCCCGAATCACAAACGTTCAACAGAGATAGACCCGACTTTTACAATTTAACTGTAACGAACTCCATGGGAAAGATCGACGAGATAGTCGACTATATGCGCCGGGAGCACCTGTCAATGGCTTCGATTCAGGAAACGAAGTTGACCGCCCGATCAGATTTTCTGAGCCGGGCCGGATACAACATAATCCGCAAGGATCGCAACCGAGACCATGGTGAGGGCTTGGCGTTCATTCTGCACAACACCGTGCAGTATCGCAGACTTATCGAAGGCGACATCGACCGGAGGGATACTACCCTAGAATGTCAGGGCATAGCTATCCGGTCAGGCGATATTTAATATATACATTCCTCCAGTTATAAATTGCCCATAGGCACGGGTGAAACCCGTTTAGTTTCTGGCGACTTTAGCGCTCATCAGGATCTTTGGCATTCTAGCCTGTCAAATGACTCGACTTTTTTTCCGCGGATCACTGAACATTTGTTAACTTCAAAAAAGCTAACTGGCCGGGCCCAGAATTCACCGAGGACGCCTTTAGTGCTTTCCCAACTCCATGAGACGTCACTACTGGTGAGGGTTTATTCCGCAGGGTCGTCGTGACTGCTGCCCTCCGTTTCACCCGGTAGGTCGATTTGCGGAAATCCGCCCAAATTTTCCGACAGAAGCGGTGGTACTAGCATCCAGGCGCGACACCCTTCGAAACTCCGATTCTGAGAATCCCCTAAAGAGGGATTTAAACGCGGAGATTCGCAGAGTAGTTAGCAACCACAAGCGGAAAAAGTGGGAGGACCAGCGACCTCTCCTCTGTGGCAACCAAGCTATGGGCTATAGTGAACTCGTTGTCTTACCCGACGAGACGCGATGACCGGGTGGAAGTTTCATTCATGGATCGCGCCTATTCGGACTCGAAGAGTTGCGCGAGCTATTTTTGCCCACTTTTTACGCTTCATCCTTCGGTAGACGAAACGAAGCGACGTGTAACCCGCCGTATGCGTAAAATGCCAAACACAGCGCACCAGGTTCAAGGGGTCATCGGGAAGGCGAAAGCCTCCAAATCCATCGGCCCCGACGGAATAAGCATGCTGATGCTCAAACCTTATCACGAAAGTCCTCAATTTGTATTTGACCACCCTAATGATATCTGACGTGTGGAAAATGGGCAGAGTGGACCCGCTACTCAAACCGGCCAACAAAAGAGAATCTTATCGGCCGATAACTCTTCTCTCCCCAGTAGCGAAGACACTTGAGGCCTTACTGCTCTCGACCTGCACTCACCATCTGCGTCCAGCATCACGTCAGCATGGCTTCCGAAAAGTGCACATCACCACAACAACACAAAACGCCATAAACATCCAGATAGTCAATGGCTTTAATCAAAACCGACCCTGCGCGCGAACTCTGCTGGTAGCACTGGATCTGTCATTCAGTGCTTCTAACGGACATTGAGGATCCCTCATTACCGCCGGGGTTTCAGAGATGGGTCATGGGCTACCTTAGGGGTCGGCAATCATCGGTAATATTCCGCGATGAAACATCCAGAAAAATTATACAGGGTGTTCCGCAGGGTGGTGTCCTCTCCCCGCTACTGGTTAATTTTTATATTTCGAAACTCTCTCCTCCAGCAGGAGTTTCCCTTACCTCGTATGTCGATGATTGTACGATAATGGCGTATTGCGAGGATTTTGATGACCTCTGTTTTAAAGTGAACTGCTACCTTGCCGATCTTTCTCACTTCTAACTAGCTACCATCTTCACCAGCTGGACGAAGGGACACAGGCTTAGATTAGATGTGAAGGTCACTGGACGAAGGAACACAGGCTTAAACTAGATGTGAAGGCCGCTGGACGAAGGAACACAGGCTTAAACTAGATGTGAAGGTCGATGACGTAAAAATTCCGTCTGTAAATAACCGCTCACTTTGCTAGCAACTTATAAAGCAATTGGCCGGCCAGTCATAAACTATGCTGCACCGAACTGAGCGCAGGGGACGAACGGGACGCAGATGAAGAAGCTAAAGGCTTACCAGAACACCGCTCTCAGGACTGCGAGTTAAGGAGCATAATGCTTTGCTGTGCAAGCAGTTCCTATTGGGATGTTACCACAGGGACACTAACCACCTCTTCACATGCCCCTTAAACCGACTCATCTAAACCTCGTCTCCCTTTGGTCCAATCCCGTCGAAACGGCTCGTTTCCTGGAACTCCCATTAGATGACTTCGGCGACTTAGATTAATAAAACCATTACCTAAGCGGGGTTAGCGAACCGCTACAAAAACAACTAAAACAACAACAACATGAATTTTAGATCCAAGTGTCAAATTTTGAACAACCACAGAAGTTTCTTAGAAATACTTTAGAAGTAATGATACCGCCAAAATCACTCAACTGCCCAACTTTCTTCCATTAAGACAAATTAAATTTTTAATACTAAAATTACACTAATCCCTTCTCATATTTTCAATTTTTAATTAATTTAAAAAAAACAATCCGTACCCTTGCGCTCAATCTGTCTAATAAAAAAAAGAAAAGAGGCCAATACCCCGAAAACTACAGTATATGAAAACATCTTTCACAACATTCTAAAAAAATATCTACCTTCTTTTTGCGACATGGCCAAAAACAAAATTAAAATTTTTTCTGGGTATACGAGTATATGTACGTATAATATAAGTTATATAACAAACATATAAAAAAAAATATATAATTATGTAAAGATTACTATATGTACAGTATATAATATTATTGTACTTAAAAAATATCCAAAGTAAAAATGCAAAGACAAAGCTGGCCTTGTGACCTGGACTTTTTAGCAACTGTTTTCGATTGCAGACTAAAGGTCATGAACTGGTGCTGGCCGAGTTTCCGCGATGTGCTGTGAGGATTGTCGAAAATCGAGACAAAATCACAACTGTACTTTACTGCGAAGTTGCAAAGGACCAAATTGTCTAGTTTAAAGATTTTTTGTGTTTTTACTTTTGACCTTCAACTTTTGGCTGCAGTATAAACTTATATTTCAGGTAAAATAAATTACATAGACATATATGTATGTAACTCATTGCAAGTCATGCTCACCGCTCTGAATTTTCAATACTTTTTATATTTCACACTATATACAAATGCACATGCATATGTACGCATATAAATCATATTCTGCCGCTTTGGGTGCAATATCAAGTTGAGGTATTTTACAATAATTCACTTTATATCACTTTGTTAACAACTTCGCGTCAATTTTTTCCAATACCGCAGTCATTAATGTTAACGAATGATCTAATTTACGCATCAAACATTGTTGTTGGATAAAAAGTACTTCTTCTCTTTCTTTGCGCGCTTCTAAGCTTTTTATTATGGTGTTACAAACCGCAGCAAGGTTCACGTCCTTTGATGTTTTGGAACTTTTAGTTCCAGTGTTTTTGAAATTTATATGTGAAGAGGATGTTGCAGAATTTTGATATGGTGTCGACAGTTGGGAAGTCGTAGAGTCGTTATTATGCTCATCATCACGTTTGTAACAAAGTGTATCGAAAGGATATTCGTTTTCACTTTGACTTGCATTTAATACAACTTCACTTTGAGGTTCGTTGTATTCAGATAACTGTTGTGTAGTTAGTGTAGGCTAGCAGAAAAATTAAAAATTAATAAATCAAGATTAGAGTTAATCTAAAAACAATATAGATGCTTTAGCTCACTTCTTCGAATTCCATTTTTACTTCGTAAGCATCAAGTTCTGCCGTTTCATCTGAGGTTTCGATCGGGTTCTTTATGCCAACATTATTTAAACAAACCATTTTTTTCTTTAATTCTCTTTTCCCGAGTTTACGCAAACGAGAACGCACTTGGACCTTCCTATGTGATAATGACTTTATATATATAAATTATTAGATTAAAATAAATAATAAAGGATAATATGTCTTAATAAATCTTACAGCCGCCGCAGCAACTTACTTCTTGCCATTTCTTTGCTGACTTAGAGGGTCCTGTTATGTTATTGAGATGTTCTGCTAATTGAATCCATAAGCTCTCTATACGACCTAAAGCAACTTTGTCTGATTTATCAAATCTATTATTTATCTCCGGATGCTCCTTGCAGAATTTCAAGTAATATTGAATCTGAGCCTGAGTGGTCCGTATCCTAAAGCAAAATAACATTGTAAATTTACAGATTTCTTCACATACTATTAATTCATACTTTGGTTCGGTGTCCATTTTAGGGCAAGCTTCATCTATGAGGATTTTGTCGTACTCTTGATTTTATTGGTAAAGTTTATATAAAAAAAAACAAATAGTACGGCTCACAGATCCCGAATACGTAAATATTTACCAGCGCAGATCCGTAGTTTCTGAAATAATTGCATTTTAAAATCGAAAATCTGTCACTATTTTATCTATTTGGGAACATTGAAAATACAATTTATATCAAATTGTTACTTATGTGTTGCACTGCTAACCTTTTTTATTAACTTTATGTTTGATGTTTTTTTGGCGGGACGACTTACATTTTGGAGAATAATATTTGACCATTGTAAGACTGTACAATGTTTGTGATTATTATTCAACAAAATGTTTGAAGCGATTTCTTCTTAACACATGGTTGCACAGCTAAGCCATATATTGTGCTGCCATATTGTAGCAATTTCCGTTAAATAATGCTGGATAATCTCCTTAACCCTTGAATTCCGATCATAAGATTTACTTTTAAAAGTGCTAACATTTGCACTTCTGCTTCGTTATTGTAAGTAAACAGTTTCCTATATCTTCCTTAACACATACATAAGATTTCTCCCTTTACAACTCTTGATAATCACACAGTTTATTTTCCCGTAACCTCCTCTTCCTTTTCGGTCGGTACCAGTCTTGTCACTACCGACCTTTAAACACAACTGTGTATGCTGAAGTTATGGCTACCGCTGCTTAACCCTTTCTCGCATATAACTCTAATGAATCATTTTGACTGTTCTCGATAACAAACATACGATACACGCATTCTGGAGCATGGTTTAGCTTTCGACCTATCCATCTCAATTTCCATTCGTATTCGGCATTTTAGCCACAATTTCAAAAATAATCACGAAAAGTGTAAGCCATGGAACAACAAACAGAAACTGTAAGGTAGCAGTAGTTCTCCCACGATCTACGCTATCAAAGTAGCTGGGCAGTTTTATCCTCCGCTCATAGAGAAACAAAGCAACGTATGTTCAAACGCCTGGCCGCTATTTGCCGAAGTCCGTTATAGTACAAATCCAGGCGATTGCAGAACTTCGTCAACAGCAAAATATGCATACGGTGCGCCTGATACAGCCTACATAAATACATTATTTGCGTCACGTCCGTTGAACTTTTCAGTACCACCTATTTTTGCCAGCACCAGACTTTAGTGGTCGATCCGAAAAGTAGGCTACAATGAGTATAAAGCAGCTTATGATTTTAACCAGCGAAGTAAGTAATTGTTGGTTCATCCAAAGGATGTAAGCTATACTGCTGAGTAACTTAAGTTTAGTTAAGGTCGTCCAGAACAGATTATTTGCATCCAACTGCTACAAAATTGGGAAATCCAGCCGATTTCCGATAGAGCATCTGTCATTTGCAATTAAGGTAAGAGAGTTAACCACCGTTTGCTTTACGAAACTCAACGAGATCACAGTAACAACGACCGACAGATTTCCCGCGCATACAAAGCCAAGGCACTAGTCCGACGATTTACATAGTTTCGACACTTGAAATTTGGATAGTATCGAAATGGTATAGTTCGTTTTAATATATAATCGATTTCATAGCGCCATATGTATATTAGAAACATAAAATTGTCTCTACTTGCTGGTATTACTGTTAATCACTTTCACTAAAACATTTCCTTAAAGGGTTCAAATTAAATTAATTTAAACATTCAATAAATTCTTTCGCTGCAACCCTGTGAAAACTTTCGTTCAATTATTTGTTTTGGTTGAGTTGGATAGAAGAAGAAGTGATTGCAGGGTAGCCGTGCTTCATTGTAGATTTATTTCGAATATTTATACAGAATTTAATTCATTAATTGGTATCAAAACTCTAAATGATTTCAGATAAATTGCGTGTATATAATTATTACTTGTTTTAATAACTACAAAGGCGTACTTTTGTTATTTAAACGATATCTTATTAAGATTGTTTCATGCACATACAACCCTTCTCTAGCTATTAACAAATCAGCTGTAGGCTATTATAAATTTTCGTTTAGTTCGCTTTATTTGCAATTTTTGTTTTGTTGCTGCCTTTTCAATCGAACCCAAGCAAGTGGCATGTAAAACGCGTATGACTTGTGACAGCATTGTATAGTGATAAAGAAATTTTTTGTGTTAGCGCATGTGAAAATTGAAAGGGTTACGTATGCATATTTCGCGAATTACTTGCCTACAATTGGATTTTTTGAATTTTGAATTTGAATTGCATTTAAAGTACAGCGGAAGTAGTTCAACGCAACGGATATTGTGCAAGTGCAGCGGATGCATTTAAAATACTAAAGGTAGGTGCTCCAATTTTCTATTACTTAACCTTTTGTAATATATTTGCCTAACTTTGCAGGCATTAATATGAACGATATGTTGCCGAACAGGCCAACTCTCAATGGAACACAAACAGGTGTGGCCCAAACGGCCGCCACTCAATTTGCAACGCAACCACCCAGAGCTTGTGCACAGATGACAAATCAAAGGACCATTGCCGAACCTTTACATATTCAACGGCTAGAAGCGGCACTTAACATGAAACCTTTTATGGAATACGTACGCCAAATTTTGTCAAAACCTTTGAGCAGTGGTGAGGACTCCATCGCCACGGAAGAAGATGAAGCGAATAGAGGTGGTACAGATAATTCAGAAGAGGAGGGAGGGGGTACTCGGAAAAAACGTCATAGATTGCTGGGTACTAAAGAAGGTAATTTAATATAGATAATAATTAACAATATAAGAAATATTTAATAATTCATGAATTTTTAGATCGCCAAAGCGCCAAAATGCATTTATTTAACTTTAACGATATGACAAGTGATCGCGAGTGGTTGTACGAGGCGTTACTTAGTGACACCGATACAGAAACAGAAATAAGTGATGAAGATGACTACATCAAGGAATTGCTTAAGACTCATATATTTGAGCAGAAACATCGCGAAAACTTTTATAAAAAGACAACGGTAGAAAAAAAACATTCTTTTATATACATATATACATATATTGAATACTCACAACAAAACTTAATTTGAACTTTCAGAATACCCAATATGCATACTATGGCGCCGGTATGTTATCCAATCATGATATGTTTCCTGAGCACCAACAGTCTATAGTAGGCGTCCGTAAACGCAAACGACGCACTAAGAAAGAGAAACCAATTAAGCCGCCAAAAATGCCAAAAGAGCCTAAGGTGCGTAAACCAAGAAAGCCTAAGATCGAACAACCTGAGCCTGGTGAAATTCCACCCTCTGAATTAACCAACTATGCCTTCGGTGACACTTCGGCTGTAAATGATGATGAAGACGACATTACCGATGAGATGGATAGCACATTAGACACCAATCTGTCGCAGTTGCCACCGACTGGAGTGCCTCATAGCGGTCGGGGACGACGTCGCAGGAGTCAGCAACTGCGTACACCCGAAGTAATGGCTGCTCGCCGTAAACGTGTTTGGCAATTAATGGCTAAAAAGGAACTTGGACGTTGCCAACGCGGTAAAGCAAATAATCACAAGGAAGTACTACAGAATTGCAAACGTGTTGCCACAATGTGTTCGAAGGTCGTGAGACAACGTGCAATGATATCACAAAAAGTTATGAAGGAAACTGTTTGGCGCGCCAAACGTTTAACTCGTGAAATGATGGGATACTGGAAGCGCTATGAACGTGTGGAACGAGATACTCGCCGGCGCATGGAGCGTGAAGCAGAGGAGCAACGGAAAATGGACGTAGAGATCATAGAGGCCAAACGACAGCAGAGAAAATTAAATTTCCTCATAACTCAAACGGAGTTATATGCGCATTTCATGTCCAAAAAACTTGGCCAAGGTACCGAAGAGGAGCAATTACGTATATTGAACCAACTAGACGAAGAAATCAATCCACGGTTGGCTGCATACGATGATTATGATGCTGATCATTACAAGTCGTTGGCTCAAAAGAACGCCGAGCTTGCCTTTTCAGCCGATCGTGACAAGACTCGACGTTTTGATGTATCTGCACATCTAAAGCTGGAGAAGGCAGAAGCAAATACTAGTTCCTTGACGGATGTTAAGAAAGAAGATGATGATATAGATATGTCTTCTATTGTGACAGCAGCTAAAGCAGATGTGCCTCAACCGAATATGTTTAAGGGTACACTAAAGACGTACCAAATAAAGGGTATGTATTTCTATGACTTAACCGAATTTAATAATAAAATGTAATACTTTTATTATTCTTCAGGCGTCACTTGGCTGGCAAACCTTTACGATCAAGGCATTAGCGGCATACTTGCCGATGAAATGGGTCTCGGTAAAACTGTACAATCAATTGCATTTCTCTGCCATGTTGCTGAGCATTACGGCGTCTGGGGTCCGTTTTTGATTATTTCACCGGCGTCCACATTACATAATTGGCAGCAGGAAATGCAGCGTTTTGTGCCCGATTTTAATGTGGTGCCATATTGGGGATCACCAAATGAACGTAAAATTCTTCGACAATTTTGGGAGCAGAAAGATTTACATACTCGTGAAGCTAGCTTTCATGTAGTTATCACGTCGTATCAATTAATCGTATCCGATTACAAATACTTCAATCGCATTAAGTGGCAGTACATGGTGTTGGACGAGGCGCAAGCCATAAAGAGCGCTTCTTCAATGCGTTGGAAATTATTACTCGGCTTCAGTTGTCGCAATCGGTTATTGCTTAGTGGCACACCGATACAAAATAGTATGGCTGAACTATGGGCACTCTTGCATTTCATTATGCCAACACTCTTCGACTCGCATGACGAATTCAATGAATGGTTCTCAAAAGATATAGAATCTCATGCCGAGAACAAGACGGGTATCGATGAAAAACAAATATCACGCCTTCATATGATACTCAAACCGTTCATGTTGCGACGAATCAAAAAAGATGTCGAGAATGAGCTGTCCGACAAAATTGAGATAATGGTTTATTGTCCACTGACCATACGCCAAAAACTACTCTACATGGCGCTAAAGAAGAAGATACGCATTGAAGACCTATTGCATTTTACCGGCGGCGGTGCGGGTAGTGCCGGAGATGGTCATCATTTTGATAAGAATTTCACATCGAATCTAATGAATTTGGTTATGCAGTTTCGAAAGGTCTGCAATCATCCAGAGTTATTTGAGCGACGTGATGCTAAAAGCCCATTTGCTATGCGTTGTGAAGAATATGTGTTGCCACGATTGGTATATTCTGAATGCTTATTTCAACGTGCTATACCGAGCAAACGACATTTGCTTTATAATAAGTAAGTGCCTTTATTTGCCTGGGAGGGTCTTCTTTAAACCAAAGACTTTCAATTTTTTTTTCTGCAGATATTCGATTTTCAAAGCTGCCTACATTCATCAATCTCTATTTAATGAACTACCAGCTGGTAAAGGGAAAAAGACTAACGGGAATTATGCACGCTATGTAGATTTGAATACCAATGGGGCATGCTGTTTTAGCTTCTCGCGAATGACCGATCTTTCACCGAAAGATCTGGAGGATATCAGCATTAACGGTTTAATTTCTTAGTAAGCGGAAATCAATTTCTTAATAAACAGAAAACAAAGTTAGTAAATTATTTTCATTTAAAATCTTTTAGCATTTTACACTATCGACGAAGGCTGACACAATACGCTCTACTAGCCTATCGCCGTCAATGGTGGCCTGAGTACAAATCTACACGTTTTCAACTGTTAGAGCCAATGTTGGAGAATCCGCTGCAGCGTAGTTTTATGTGGGGGCAAAGTGTGTTGAGAGAATTTGTCTTTACGGGCATCGTAAGTAGAAAAAGTGATACTCAAAACAAACAAAAAAAATTAAATAAATAAATAATTTGATTTACTCACACACAGACTAGTCAGGAAAGCACTGTTTATGCTTTTGGCAATTACAAAACTGTTAACATTCAAGAGACAATTGAACATCGTGTTATACGTAGTAAGCACGTCGATTTGACGAAGCATAGCGCACTTGAACGGGAAAGCTTAAATGAGAGTCCAGCCATAAAAACCGAGTTGGATTTAGACGCAAGTGAAGATGCTACGCAATCAGGCAGCGCACATGGGACAAGCAAGTCACCGAGGTCGGCATCGAAACACAAAGATGACGTCGATGCTAGCGCAAAGTTGTTGCCAGAATTTCCGCACTTGCCACGTACGCCCACCGAATACCAGTGTGAACCGCTGGAAATGCCGCGCTTTCTCTATGGACTCAGCCAACGCGTACAGGCAGTTAATAGATATTTATAGTAAGTTGCATAGAAGCTTAAACACTTTGTGAACATATTTACGATGTAATGCCAATACCAAATTAATTGCAGTTGTGAGAGTCGCGATGCTGCCTGGGCTCAGATACGGCACATACAATGTGAAAATCCAATCGGTTTAGAGTTAGTCAATACTGCGTTGGATCTATGTCGTCCGCGTTATGGTTGGTCTTCAATTGTGGTACCCGATAAGCAAACACTCGTTTCCGACGCGGGTAAATTGGCTGTGTTGGACAGTTTGTTGACGCGACTTAAAGCACAAGGGCATCGTGTGCTAATTTACTCGCAAATGACAAAAATGATTGACTTGTTGGAGGTGAGAAGCGTTTGGTAGATATTGATGGTTGGTGTAGTTATTGTATAATATATTATCATAGGAGTATATGTGGCATCGCAAACATCGTTATATGCGTCTCGATGGTTCAAGTAAAATTTCAGCCCGTCGTGATATGGTTGCCGATTTCCAAACGAGGGAGGATATATTTGTTTTTCTACTCTCTACACGCGCTGGCGGTTTAGGTATTAATTTAACGGCCGCCGATACGGTGAGTACACATTTCCCTCTTTATATATATAAATATCTTATATTATATATTACGTACAAAAAAAAAAATACCGCTTCAAACTTCAGTAAACATGTTTTGTGTAAAACAAGACGACTTTTGACGACAGCAGAACTTGTTTAAAATAAAATCAGAAATGGGATTCACGTGAACACCGATAAAAGTCCACAAATCGTTTGTCACCGGCATTAGAGAGCTACTCTAAACCAGTTATAAAACGTGGCTCTGCGGATTAGGAGCTAAAGAATTTACCCGTGGTAAGACGTGCCAGTCGTAAGAGGTGACTTAAATAGTTCCCGCGACAACAACAACAATGATAGATCGTAAATTTCATAGAATAGGGCGGAAGCAAAATTTACGAATAATAACTGTTGTTGTTGTTGTTGTTGCAACCGCAAAAATATTCCCCACAGTACTTTTTGGGGAATGTTGCGTGAGTAACAGTCCTAGTCCGGCTAAAAATCCGGGTCGTTCCGGTATAAAAACCCGACTATTGCGGGAACAATTGGATTTTAGTCGCCTCTTACGTCAGGCATGCCTTACCGCGGGTAATTTCTTGAAGCCCTAACCCTGAGGGGGTTATAAATAATAGCAATTTATACTGCTGATTCGTAAATCCTTATACTTTTTCGTCATTGGCGTTTACGCGATTAAAGCTGCAAATTCGAGGCACAAAATATGGCTTAAAACACTTTCCGCACATCTCAACTGTTTTTTTTTCTTATTTTGATTTTTGACCCTGGAGAAGAACACATTTTTAATTCTCTTAAAGCGTGTGGAACATACCTATGCCCTCACCCATACATTGTTCTTTCGTCTTTTCAGTTCATCCCATTCTGAGCGATTATCAAGCCCAATGCTCAGATATTTATATGATTTTATGAAGTTAGGGTTAAATACTTCTGCTCTTCACTTTCCTCAAGTTGAAAACTTTTCATATATTATATTTTAGTATTAGCTTGTAGCATTTACTTAACGGTCTACGTAAGCGTTTCTACAAGATCTCAAAGTGAGAATTTCTATAATTTCGTAAAAACTGCATTGCGAATTCCCTTCAATTCGATCGAAATAATCCAAAGAAAAATTTTAATTTGTTTATACTAGTGAAAACCATTATAATTTTCCCGATTCTTGTAAATTACTTTCGAATGCTTTCAATTTCTTGTTTGCTTTTTGATTGATTAAAAAAAAATTTACCGAAAATATGTGTAAGAAAAAACAAAATTCAAATTAATGAGTGTCAAATTGTGTTTGAAATGTTTTCATTTTCCCTTTTAAATGTTAACTAATCTCATGAAATAAATCTTTAGTAAAATTTCCTTTGCAATAACATGTGTTCCTTCCGCACGGCGAATAAAGAGGCAAATCCATTAAAAGAACAACCAACCACCAGTCGCCGCCATGCACCCGACAGCCCAGTTATAGTGACAAAAAACACTATGAAACGTGTAAAGTACGAAAATTTGTTGGCTCAAAGTGTATCACAGGCGCCACTGGAATGTCGCTTAGCGCATAAATTGCGTCTCGCCGTCTACGAAGGTAACTCGACAAATCCACGTCAGAATAGATTTCTAAAAACCGCCATACGTCGTGTGCGCGAGCAAGGACTATCTTTGCATGCGGCACAACAGATTATCAACAACTATGGAGACACGCGCAATTCCCAACATCGGCAAATCTTGCAAATACGTTACAATCGTAGAGTCTTTCTCATCTGTACGTTGCGCACGGCGAATGTAGTCGAATTGAAGTCGCGTCTGATGCCATTAATGCGTGCCTACAATGCTAGTTTTGTCAATGTCATACACAATTTCCACAGCAGTGCGACTATTGAGGCAATCATATCGTTGCAAACTTCGCTAGATTTTAGCAATCTTGAGGGTTCCATAGCGCGTGATGCGCATGCCTGTAAGGCGCAAGAATGTGAAATGGTCGATTATGAGACGGGCGCTGTCAATTTTAAATGTGAACCCAGTGAAATGGATGCGGTTTTGAAGCGGGTTAGAGCAAAGGGCTACACCGTGCTGCATACCGAATACAGTTTCAAGCCGAAAAAGTTCATAAAGCTAGAAGAAAGCGAAAACGAAAAATATAAAAAGTTTCGTACAAAGTTAATGAAAACACAAGATTTCGATGTGATTTTCGATAATGTTGTTGGAATGGATGAGGAGGAGATTGAGACTGGAGTTGCTACTGCTGATTGCGTAGTTGCGGCGGTGTAGATGATGTGGTGGGGAGCCTTTAATCGTTCGACACTGCGTTTGACTTGTTCAATCCGAAATTGTGGTCTCAATAAAAATTAATTTTTCAATAGCACATAAAAGTGTTGTAGTTGTTGTAATCGCAAAAATATTGTTCAAAGTAGTTTTAGGGGAATGTGCGGGAGTGACAGCCCTTGGTCGGATGAAAATCTGGTAGAAAGACCCGCCTGTCGTGGGATTTTAGTCATCTCTTACGACAGACATATTGGCGTCTGTTTAGGATATTGATGACAACCTACAAAAACAAAAAAAAAACAGAAAAAATTGACGGCGTCAAAACTCCGACTATAAACAGCCCAAAGTTACTGGGAGTCATTGGACAGCCTGCACTCCTTCAATTGCCTCAGAGCTCTGGGGCCCCAACGAAACCATCCTCAAGCGTTAGCAGGCAGCCCCTGTGGAAAATATAAAATATAAAGCAGGACGCCTTTTGGAACTCTCTCCCATAGCAGATTAAGAGCTCAAGTTGCCTCGATAATCACCCGTGGATATTGTAGTAGGTTAAACTCTTACCTATCCAGACCTAACATATGTCCGCATGTAATGAGCACCGCACGTCAATAACTTGCATGCCTCTTTAAAACCATATCATCTAACCCCCTTGTATCACTGGTCCGAAAACGTTAAAACAGTTCGTTACCTGAACCCCCTGTTAGATAACCTTGAATATTTAGACTAAAAGAATAAAATTGAATTAAAATTTGAAGTATTCGGATTTAATTCGTAGATCTCGCGGTTAAACACGATAAGCGCCTAGATCACAGCATCGAGGTTGTATCAACAGCTCCCAGATCCCTAACAATCAAATTAAAAAAAAAATAAAAAGACTTCAATTTCATGCAAAAGTATTGGTTGTTGGTTGGTTTTACTACACCTAATAATTATTCATTATAACCCTGCGGGTTAGGGGCTCAAGAATTTACCTGCGGCAAGGCATGCCTATCGTAAGAGGCGACTAAAATCCAATAGTTCCGCGACTGCCGGGTCTTTGTACCGGAACGACCCGGATTTTTATCCGGCCAAGGACTGTCACTCCCGCAACATTCCCCAAAAAGTACTTTGGGGAATAATTTTGCGGTTACAACAACAACAACAACAAACATAGATATTAATTGGTAAGGTTTTCATATTTATTAGCATAAATGAAAGCCTAAATATACAATCATGAGCTAAAAATATCTAATTATGTATGTACACATGTGTATATTTCCAAATATCTTATCAGCAGCAGAAAAAAATTAAAATGGTTCCATTAAATTTAAATTGCTGTAAAGATAATCCAACCGACTTCGAAATTATTGTTAATCAAAACGTAAATTTTCCGCGACTATTGGAATTCCACGCTTCATACGTCTGAAGTGCTTCATAAAAATTCTTTTGCATCAATTCGCGTGACTGTCATTGCTGTCTTCGGCTAACCATTCACGCACCAATTTGGCTATTGTTTCCTTTGAGGCGCGCATTTCTGCGCTATCGGATGCCCTAATCGAATTGAAGTCGGCACAATGGGATGTTAATGGTATTATCGTCGCACCTTGTTCAGCTGTGTGGCCAGCCGCGCTCCATGGGTCGAGGCCACCGTGTGTTTGATAAACGTTGGGAGCATTTGGCGAATAGCCGCCGAAATCCTCATTTGTCTGCCCTACATTGGCATAGATATTCGTTTCAGTGAAATTCTCGCCGAAGATGTCTTCACACAATGTAAGATAAAGTTTAGCCGGGAATTTGGTGCCGAAGGGTTGGTTGCGAGATCGCGAAGATTGGTACCAACCGTATTCGTTGCAGGTCTGATAATACCAGGGACGGTCTGAAATGAGTGAATTAATCATTTTTTATCTTTCTTTTAATTTATTTAATTTTCATTCAACTAATTTTTTCAATTTATTTATGTTTTAATGCTATTTTATTATAAATTGTTTTGTTTTATTTTATCTTTAGTTTTTATATTTATATTTTTTAAATTTTTTTGTTTTAATTTTAATTTTCTCAAATTTAAATCTTAAATTTATTTCATTTTATTTTATTTTTTCACTTTATTTCAATTTATTTTTAATGTTATTTCATTTTTATTTTTTTTTCATTTTATGCTTTTTTTTATTTTTAATCTAAATTTTTGTTTTATTTTATTTTTTTTATTTCATTTTATTTTTATTCATCTTATTTTTCCTTTTTTTAAATTTATATATTTCATTTTGATTTTTGTTATATTTTTTTTTTTTTTTCATTTTTAATCTAAATTTTTGTTTTATTTTATTTTTTTTATTTCATTTTATTTTTATTCATCTTATTTTTCCTTTTTTTTAATTTATTTCATTTTTATTTTAATTTTGTTTTAGTTTATTTTATTTTTAACTTTTATATTATTATTTTTTATTCTATTTTTTGCTTTTATATTATTTTGTTTTCATTTTTATTTTTTTTTTTTGCCTATTCATCTTATTCAATTTTGATATTTTTTTTTTCATTTTTATACCTACATTTTTAATTTTCTTTTAATTTTAAATAAGTATTTTATATTTTTACCTTCTAGTTTTATTTAGTTTTGTTTTTATTTTTTAAGTTGATTTTTATATTTTTATTTTTATTTTTTTCTTTGTTTAATTTTTTTATTATCATTCGTCTAATTTTTTGTATTGTTTTAATTTTATTTATTTTTTTGTTTTGTTTTATTTTATTTTTTTTTATTATTTACATTTATTTTTATTCCTTTATTTTATTTTACTTTAATATTTTATTAATTTTTTTATTTCATTTTGTTGGTTTTTATTTTAAGCTTAATATTTTTTTATTTTTGAATTTTGTGATATTTAATTTTATTTTAATTTAATCTCAATTTAAATTTCATTTTATTTTCATTTACCTTATTTTTTATTTTCTTTAAATTTTGTTTAGTTTTGGTTTTTATTTTGCTTTGTTAAATTTTATTTTAATTTATTTTTTTATGTTTATATTTATTTATTTTATTTTGTTTTGATTTTAATTAACAGTTTATTTAGTTTTTAATTACCTTTCCTTTAATTTTTTTTTTTAATTTATATTTTTTATTTTAATTTAATTGAAATTTTTTTTTCTTTCACCTTATTTTTTATTTTTTTTTTTTTGATTTTATTTCGGTTTTGTGTGTGTTTTGCTTTATTTTATTTTATTTTACTATTACTTTTTTATGTTTATATTTTTATATTTTATTTGGTTTTAATTTGAAATATCAGTTTATTTATTTTTTAACTTAATTTTATTTTGTTTTTATTTTTATAGTTAAATTTTTTATTTTAATAAAATTTCAATTTTCAATTTAATTGAATTTAATTGAAATTTTAATAAAAACTTTTTTTTTTCATTAACCTTAGTTCTTAATATCCTTTAATTCCTTTTTTATTTTGTTTTGTTTTCTTTTATTTAACTTTTTTTTAAGATTTCCTTTGTTTAATTTTTATATTTTCAAACTATATTTTATTTAATTTTATTTTAATTTTTTAAATCTATATATTTTTATTTGTTTTTTATTGGATTTCATTTTCTTAAATTTTTTATTTTAATTTATATTTTTTATTTTATTTTATTTATATTAACTTTAGTTTTAATATTTTTATTTTAACTTCTGTTTTTTAATTTAATTTGTTATTAATTGAATCTAATATTAATTTTTTCTGTTTTATTTTAATTTTATTTATTTTAATTTCCAATTTTTCATTTTTATTTTGTTTTATTTATTCTAACTTTAATTTTAATATTATTTATTTTTATTCATAATGTTTAATTTAATTTTTTATTTATTATTCATTTAAATTTATTTTATTTTTGTTTGGTTTTCTTTTTTACACATTACATTATTTTTTTTTAATTTTGTTTGGTATTAAGTTTAAGTTCAATTAAATTTTTATTTTAACTTTAAATTTATTTTTAATTTTTGTTTGATTTAATTCAAAACTTTATTAGTTTTATTCAATTTTATTTTATTGTGTTTTCCTTTATTTAGTTATTTTATTATAATTTTTGATTTGAAAGTTTCATTAAACTGTAACTCTTGAAGAAAAAAAAGGAGTAACTCCATTGTATGTATGTATGTTTTATCGTTTATGTTACTCACTTGCACCCGCTGCAAAAGTCGAATCTATATAATAAGTCAAAGTGTCCTTATAGGTGAGATCAAAACAACCGGTGCCAATATACCGTAAAAGGAATTTTGCAATAGCTACGACATCACTTTCCTGCTCCATTAAGAAGTCACACAGATTTGGTACATCATTGCCTCTGAAAATAAAAAAATTGTAATAATTAAACTCACCAAATGTGAAATATGGAAATCGATTAAACACTTAACTTACGACTGATATTGTACAATGCCAGAGAAGAGATTTGAGATACTGGAAAAGAGAGTCCACACATCTAAATCATTATATTCATCAAAATTATCGCAAATCTTCATCATAGCTTTTACTTCGGCAGCACGACCGCCCCCAATCATCTCTTCCAAAGTTGCTATACCGTTTTGTACACGGCTGTAACACTGCTCGCTACCCAATTCGCGTAGAGCACGACCAACGACCTCTTTGTACTCTAAGAGGTCAGATCGAAATGTTGAGAAAATGATTTTTTCTTTACTCATATCTTGTATCTAAATACCTCGGAAGTCAACCTTTGCCAAAAGCGGCGCACTGGAAGCCCAGCCTCCGGTTAAAAGTTCCGGGTACGTGTGTTTAAACCACACTACCATGGATGCTGCGTAGGAGCCGCCAGCCATTATGACCTTTGAATTTTCCAAACCAGGATAATTCTCGCGTTGATACTTAATGAAGTGTGCTAAATCTGCTAGTGATTGCTTGACGTGCAAATATTTTAAGTTGTCGACGGTGAGATCACTGCAGAAAATGCTTACAGTTAAATGGAAATATAATTAATATGAATTTATAAGTTACCTTGTTGGAAGACTTTTGCCGTAGTAACGGTGTTCGGTGTAGAAAAGTAAACCGTCATGCTCTTTGGCCATGTCAACAAAATGACCCATTCTTATACTTAGCGATGATATAGACCATTCGCCACCAACGTAAATGAATATCGGCCCACCTTCCTTGAAATAGTTATCGTTTTCCATGTACCGCTGTGAGGCAAGAATTTATTTTAGAATTTTCATCAAACCCTGGATTAATGAACAACCAGTTACTCACCATTTGCCATGTCTTCTCATTTGTAGAGTCGAAGTGATCCAATTTCTGTTCAATGGTTTTAGTTGATACTTTACGAGAAATTGCACGATCAAGCGTCTCCTCTTGTGGTGGCTCGCGATGTAAATATTTTAAACTTTGCACAAAAAGGGTTCCTTCTGTGCCGGTGACATTGAAAAATTCCCCACGCAACTTTTCCCAATTCAATTTACCCGTGGCCGTTGACACGGTTAATGCGAACAACAACAGTAAAACTATTTGTAGCGATCTCATTTTGTAAAATGAACTTGCACAGTCTGGTCCTCAACTATAAATACCTAGATTAAGCGTACGACTGGTATGTTGATTACCGCAGAGTTAATTTTATTATACAAAAAGCGATAAGACGTCTTTGATTAAAGTAAACTAGTTTTTACGAAGATCAAATATGGTTGTATGTTTGTTGCCAACTGGTAATTCCTTCGGAGGAATATTGCTTTACACTTTAATGACGGACCGACTACCCTAAATGACGTTATTTTGTAGATTTCGAGATTAATTTTTATTTCAAACGATCAATCACAGAATAATAAATGAAACACGGAACTGGAACCTCCGTCAATCGTAGCGACATCGATATCAGGAAATTTGGGAAAAACCTTAATTCAGCATAAAAGTGTCTAAATTGTCGGCCTTCAATCTAATAGATTTCTTACTTCAGACCCCACACTGAACTCAATTTGAGTTTGCTTACAGTATTACAATTAGTAATTCACTCGCTTTGTATTAGGTCTTACATGACATATTTCAATAGGCTTTAAATAAAGAGCACCGCTTAATCGTTGTATGTCACCTTGTGAATATTTTTATGTTTGGTAGTGGAAAATTAAGAATACAAAAATGCCACGAGAAAGTGAGAAAAAATATAATTATATCTTCTTCTTTATGTTAAGTTCATGCCTTGGCTTTAACGTCAAAAATAAAAAAGTCAGCAGATACAGCTCGAGATTTATAGAATACAAGGTTACGACAACCGTTCATGTTACCGAATCAACTTCGTCATATACGAGTATGCAGTGAGCGAGACTTGATATACGAGGTATGTTCAAAAAGTATCGCGAATTTTGAATTTTCGCGGGTTACGTATAATCGAATTTCGATTTTTTTGTGATGTTAGGTTGGTACTAATGTGTGTAACTTATGCCGACAAGCTCGGCCATTTTGAATGTTCACTTAATTGTTGACAGCTGCTTTGCTTGCACGTGTTTTGGATGGTCTTCGATTTTTACTTATTCAAAAAAATGGATCAAAGAACCTGTATCAAATTTTGTGTGAAAAACGAATGCATTCCGAATGTTAACTGTGGCATACGGAGAAGCTACCTTGGACCTAAGCAACGTTTATCGGTGGTACAAAATGTTCTCAGAAGGCCGAGAAGATGTGCGACGAGCGTACCGGACGCCCGAGCACTTCAACAACAGACGAAAAAATTAATGAAGTGGAGAAAATGGTATTGCCCCAGGATAGAACGGCCAATAAGGAATATTACCTGCAAGTTTGCGCGTCTAGCAATCCGCCAGAAACGCCCGGATTTGTGGAAGAACAAAAATTGGTTTTTGCACCGCGATAACGCCCCCGCTCACACATCGTTGCTTGTGCGCGACTTTTTGGCCAAAAACAACACACTAATGATGCCGCAGCCATCGTATTCCCCAGATCTAGACCCCTGTGACTTTTTCTTGTTCCCTAAACTGAAGAGGCCCATGAAAGGATGACGTTTCGCTACGATTGACGAGATAAAGACGGCGTCGAAGGGGGAGCTGAACAAGATAAAAAAAAAAAAATGATTTTTTGAAGTGCTTCGAAGATTGGCAAAACCGTAGGCACAAGTGTATAATATCTCATGGGGATTACTTGGAAGGGCACAAAATAGATATTCATGAATAAATAAATAATTTTTGAAAAAAAAACACAAAATTCGCGATATTTTTTGAAATTCATTATATACAATATGTCCAAAATCCCACTGCACACTTTTCAAAATCTCCTATCTGAACAAATCGATGAAATGTATGCTGTAGTGGTTTGATCATTTTGACCCGATCAGTATACATTTCGATAGATCAACCTCTTCTACTTCTTGTATTTACAAGGTTAATATACCATTTCTCTGAATATATTTCAAAAAATTGTTTTAAGCTTTATTTCAGCGACAAGAAGCGGGCGCACAATAGAAAAGATCTGCTTAATGAGACTCGCCTGAGAAATGAGTACGATTTTTCTTTAAAAAAAAGCACGGTTTTGTGTGCTAAGGAGAAGAACGAAATCCAACCTTAATTTCCTTTAACCTGAGATGACTCATGTTGTTTGGCGTTGCATAATTTGTATGCCAGAACCAGTTTTTTTTGAGAATTTTCTTTGTGCTATCCATTTTTGTTTCTCAGTACACGATTTCCTTCGTTTTTTACGTACTCTTTTGTAGAAGCCTTTTTATATTTTAAAATTCTTTACTTTGTTTTTCTACAAAATTTGAATACTTTTCGACCAGGGTTTATAGAATAGAAGGCTATGACTAGAGCGTAATTATATGTTTAATAACGAAGTTGGTTCAATTTGTGGGTTGCCGAAGATTTTAAAATAAATTTGCATAATTTTATCTCTGAAACAGCATCACATTTTGACTATAAAACTTTAAAGCCTTGCATATTAATTAAAAAAAAAAACTATTACAATTAAAACGTTTTGAATAGTTTTATGTCAAACAAATGTATTTTAATTTTCAATAATGCTTAAATGATGAAAATTAATATTTTTTTAGAACAACAGTTTGTATAGCTAACAATTTTAATTTTTGTTGTCAAGTTATACGAAGGCTCGGGTTCAAATCCTGGTGTTGTACTAACAGCCAAAAAGTTTTAGAAAATTAATTTAAACTAAATTTTCTAACTTCGATCGCCACTCGGTAGGAAATGTCAAGTACACTCTTATGACATGAAATAAAGGCTCCTCATAAAAAAAAAACATCAGCCGTTCGTATGTGGTTTTGTATAAACTTCACCGAACTCGTCTCTCAATAAGTCCATTGTTACTCGTGCTGTATGACATGTGGCACCGTCTTGCTGAAACCACATATCAAGCAAGTCAAGCCTTGCATTTTGGGCAAAAAGAAGTTGGCTATCATCTAACGGTAGCGCTCACCATTCACAGTTACGTTACGATTCCCATCATATTTGTAGAAGTACGATCCAATGATGCCACCAGCCCATAAACCGCACCAAACTGTGACTTTCCCTGGATGCGTTGGTAGCTCTTGCAATGCTTCTGGTTGATCTTCACTCCAAAATAGACAATTCTGCTTGTTTACGCACACCGTCATAATAAAATTTAATAATTTGCCAGCGTTGTTTGTTTGTGAGACGATTCAAGGTTAAATTCTAGACCAAACTGAAATGTTTGACGGTGATACAAAACACGAAACGTGCGTGAGCTGTCTAAACCAGTGTTGCCAAAAAGATAATCAGGGGTGTTACAGAAACAGATTGTTGTCGGCATCAGAATTGAAACCGACAAAAAGCTGTGGAAGTGGTTACACATTCCGATTATTGGTTTGCGTAACGGTTTCATTTTCGAAACAGAATTTGTATCGATTTTAAGTGTTACAAAAACCGATTTATCGGTTTAAATGTCAGATTTAAACCGAAAAGTTATTCATTGACAGATTTGTGTGCAAATTTCTTTGCAAGCGGAAATTTAATATAAATGCAAGTCACGAACAACCAGCAATGCCTGGAATACGGTACATGATATAAAAATGGTCCGGAGGTCTGCGTTTTTCATTGTCTTTCATTCCTAAAATTATTCAGCTTGGGCAATTCAGACGTTCAAAAGACTTTAGCCTTTCTGTTATAAGCTCAGAGAGTGTAGGCCGCGCTAAGGAGATATTTTAGTCCCACAAACTGTTAATAGGAGCCTTCTGCCAAAAACTGCAGTGTTGCTGCAAGTTGGAGCACAGGTGGGATGGACCGCCTATCTAACTTGTCTTCAATGACATTCAGCGCGATTACAAAGGCTTCTTTAATAAGTCGATATTATTCTATGAGTCTACATCCAAACAAATTTTGTATGGGAAAATGTAAAAGTAGAATGCAAATTGCACTTACATCCATTCTGGCAGCTTCAGAGGATTGCTTTTATCCCTTACAAATTGTGAGCTTTATTTTCTGGATTATTTCTGCATCTGCAAAAATGCTATCACTGCCGAAGTCATTTTATTTTTAATAATCACAAATGTGTTAAAAAAAATTAAATTGATTTGTGGGGTTTCTTGCAGAAGTGAGATGACAGCTGATTCGAATATCGGTTTTGCTTATCTTCGAAAGAAGCAAAATCAAGTGGATTTCATAACACCATTTCAAACAGATATTAGTTTTCAATTTGGATAAATAAGCAATTCTGTGTCGGTTTCTATAACACCCTTGAATAGCTAAAAAATCACCCTTTATATATTAAATCTCGTCCACTGTATATATGATGAAGTTGGTTCGGTGACGTCAACGGTTGTCATAACCTTGTATTCTATAAACCTTGGTTTTCGATTGCAGATGGCAATATTGCAAACTCATTATCTATAAAGTCAACAATAAATTGTATCACTAGGTTTAAATGCCGAAATTTTACCGGAAAAATCTATCGGAAACTTGGTGAAGTGTATATACATATGTATATTGAACCACTCGAAGATAACCTTTGGAAGATAAATCGATCATAAATATTAATTTTTTTTTCTTTTCTGTATCTAAGACATACAATAATTATCATACTACCTAATTTCCGGCTTCATAAATATAAAAAGCACCTTTTAATTGACGATGTAGATGCGTGCCTTGCTATAGATTGTAGCCACTCATTTAATTTTAGATAATGTTTTTTTTTTCTTATCGATAAGAGTTGTTGTTATTCACTTCGAAAATCGATAACTTCTTTAAGGGGCACATCTAGTGCAATGGCCTGAAAAAAGGTGATTTTGGTGATTTTTTATAGTAGATCTCCAAAGGCACGAAAAAAAGGTCCTTCACTGCTGCAGTGATTCCGGCCTTCTCCGTGGATGAAATCTAAAAAAAAATTCTCTACAAGATAATACTGTCTGTACAATGACGTACGAAAAAAAAAAAAAACAAAAATTGACAATATGGCAGCGTTAAAAAAAAATAAGTCGAATTTTATCCAAAATTTTGGTCGTTTTTAGTCTGTTAAAATTCAATTTTTTGATCGTATCTAAAATCGATAGGTCAATGTACGGAAAACTATATATAGAACATGTAAAAAAAATTCGATAGTGATCGGATCATTTGTTTTTGAGTAATCACCGCAGCAAATTCGGAAAATGCTGTTTCGAGAAAAATCGCATTTAAAGATAAAATGATCGTTTTCACTCGTAGCTAATGAGACTCTCTAGCTGCCGAGCGGCTGCTCTTTAAATTGCTATAACTCAAAAACTATTTAAGATATCGATTTGAAATTTTAATATGTTATTTTTAAAGTTGTAATCTACCGAAATATGAAAAAGATCGATTTTATGAAATTTCACACTAGGTGTGCGCCTTAAGAGTGTATTGACCATTTCTCTCCAATGTCGCCTTGCTACAATCAAAAAGTCAATTTTTAACTATTTTTATACAGTTCGCAATGTTTGCTGTTTTAATTTTATTTACTTGCTGTTTTTACGTTTACAATAATCAATTATTTGTCTAACTTGGTTAATCTGCATTATTTCTCAATTACGTAATTTATTTAAGAAGCTTTTCGCTTTATTATTAGCAACGCTATCAACATCGCTATCAGCGCTGATCCATTGACGCACCAATTGAGCGAATTTTTCTTTTGATGCGCGCATTTCATTGGAGTCCCTATCGCTGATCGAGCCAAAGTCTTTGCAATGTGCGTAGACTAAAGAAGAAGAAGTTAAGATGACGTTAAAATGTTTTCAAAAACTTTTACATTATCAGATCTTTAATACTTACGTGGTAATATCGTCGCTTGAGTTTCATTTTGTATGCCCATTGCGCGCCAAGGATCCAATTGACCGTGTGTAAAGTATACATTTTCCACATTCGGTGCCAAACCGCCGAATAGTTCATTGGTAGCTTGTACTTGGTTATAGATGAATTCATTAGTAAACCTTTCGCCATAGATATCGGCGCACATTTGTGTGTAAAGTGTAACGGGGAATTTGGTACCGAAGGGTTGTTGTCTAGAGCCAGAAGTCTGATACCAACCGAACTCATTACAGGTCTGATAGATCCACTGACGCACTGTCGATTAAAATACATGCATTTAAAGGAGAAATAATTTGAAATTAGATGTTGAGTTGTTGTTGCGTGTATTACTTATGTTATTGTCGAAAGTGGAATCCATCATGCTGGCTATAATAGCTTTATAGGTTAGCAGATTACAAGTGTTGCTATTGAATTGAGTTAATAAGTAGCCAGCAACACCACTGATGTCATCTTCGCCTTCCATGATTTTGTTGCATACGCTTTCAATTTGTCCAGTGCTGAACAAATAGAGAGAGAGAGAGAGAGAGAGAGAGAGAGAGAGAGAGAGGGAATAATTTTGTTTTCTTTTCTTCTAATATTTCTCTACTCACTTATGTGTCTGCACAACACCGGCAAAAATATCAGAGATCTCACTAAATAATGTCCACAAATCCAAATCGTTGTACTCGTCGAAAGCGTCACAAAGCTTTAGTATAGCTTTCACCTCAGCACCGCGTTTATTGGCGAACAATTCTTCCATTTTTGCAATACCATTTTGAATGCGATTATAGCACTGCTCGCCGGCAACCAAGCGTATCGATTGTCCTGTGATTTCTTTGTACTCTGAGTGGATAATAAATGCGTGAAAAAGAAACTTTTTGTATGTGTAAGCTTTTTGAAAGCTTCGAGAAATTTAAATTTCCATTTAAGACTTTTTCGTGGCAAACTACACTATTTCAATACTCACCCACAAAATTAACCTTAGCAAAAAGTGGCGCACTCGAGGCCCAAGCACCAGTTGCCAATTCTGGATACAATTTCTTGAACCACGTTACCATCGTAGCCGAATAAGAGCCACCAGCGATTATAACCTTCGATTGGGAGGCGCCGGGTATGGTTTCTCGCATGTGTTCAATGAAATGTGCCAAATCAGCTAGAGCCTGCCGCACGCCCAAATATTGAATGTTTTCATTGTCCATGTTGCTGGAAGGATATTTTGGAAAATTTTTTAGAAAATATCTATATAATTACTTTTTAAATGGATGATTTTTCAGAAAAAAAACCCATCATAAGATCTCTCAAAAGAAATGTAATTTACTAAAGCCATTCATAACTTCGTCATGGTTATTGGCTCATCCTGGCTTTACTCTATTCCTCTCTTTCTCTCATCTACTCACCTCGTTGGCAAACTTTGGCCGTAGTAACGGTGTTCGGTGTAAAAAAGATAACCGTTATGCTCTTTAGCCAAATCGTAGAGATGCCCGCCAGTTACATAACCCGTAGAGATTTCCCATTCACCGCCGACGAATATGAAGAATGGACTGCCTTCTTGGTAGAATTCGTCGTTGGAAATGTAGCGCTGAAGAGTGTACAATAAAATCGCAGCAATTATTATAACTAAATAAAACAAAAAAAAAATTGCGCTGCAAACGTACCATTTGCCAGGTGCGAGTTTCCGATTCATTGAAATTATCCAATTTTTGTTCAATCTCCAAATATTCTATATTCGCACGATTACGCGATGTCGACTCGGGTGGTGGCGGTTCCTGATGAAGTCTTTGGAAAGTCCGCTGAAATATATTATCTTCCTTTGTCTGCTGTGGCAGTTCATCAGCTGTGATGGTGCTTACAAGAGCAAACGCAGCCAAAAGTATAAATCCTTGTGTGCACCTCATCGTTGCCAGTTGTCTATCCTCCGCCGTAGTTGAGGTATAACTAATTAAGTTTCTAAGTTTCTAAAGTCTTGCACTAAATCTAAATACTAATAACGGTTAAATATTTATGGGGCATATCAGAGCTTATCAACTGGTATGTATTTTCTGCACTCAAGTAATTTGCTAATCGCGTACATGTGGAGTTTTACCCCACTATTTTTTTTACTACAAATTGATATGATGTATGTAATGTCCTATTTAGTCGTTCATTTGATATGCGTGTTGCTACATACATATATATATAATATATATGTGCGTAATACGCGCGATATCTTACGTTAATTGAACATTTCAGGTGTAGGTGTGATTGGAGAATCAACCTACTATACCGGAGCAGTACATATTTTGATGCAAAAAGGGTCTATTCCTTTTTAATTTGGAAAGCGGATTAAGCCAAACGAAGTGGAGATGTGTTTTAGCCTTCCTCCTGCACTTCCTACACGTGCCACTGTTCATTATGATCATTGTGCCAACAACCGCTCAGCTGCCCTTCGGACACCGCCTGAGTCCATATAACCTTTATCCGTCTTCCAGTCCTTTTAGAAATTTCATTCTATAGTCAGACGGTTGGCACTTTAAGGGGTTACAACTAGTTAGGAGTCCTAAAAATTGAGGGTTTTCAAACATTTTTCACGATGAAACTTTTAACTTTATTATTTTGAGCATTTGTACACATATTATGACACCTTTGACGACTTTGCAATTTTTTTATTTATAAAAAATAACAGTTTTTGAAGCTGCTACAGCAGTTCTCCAGAAACCGCTTCTCAAGAAAGACGTTTGTCGGTGTCTCTGCCACTTTTTGAACCGAGAAGACCTCCGCCAGGAAATCACTGTTGTATTGCGGTAGATTAAGGGTTGTCTGATATCTATCTAGCTCCGCCTTCCACTCCAGCTAGCTATTTTTGATTTGTCCGTTTTGATGGCAGGCTGCATGCTTCTGCGCCATCCGCTTTCTTTTAATGTGGTTTAAATTAATTTTTCCCAGATAAGTACGAGGGTAGGTGGCCAAATTTTTTTCATTCCCCTGCTAATAGAGCTTTGTCCAAAGGGGCTTGCAGAAAATTAATCTAATCCTACCAATTTCACAGCTGATTTCACTGCACGGTCGATTGGTGACATCTGGCAACAAGCCGCGGTATTCTCCCTAATGGTTTCTTTTTTCCTTCGGGTAGCGGTCCATCACAAAAAATCACCATAAAGCAATAACGGTTTCTGCACGGCTGGGTAACACCAATGCATGTGTCTAGTCTATAAGCTGCAGCGTAGCTTTTCGTAGAATGCAGTTTTAAATGAATTCATGAATAATAAAAATATTATTTTGATTGGAAATATGCAGAAATATCCTCAAACTTCATTCACTGAATTCCTAGTAAATGCTTTAAAATAATTGAAAACTGTCCAGCACACGTTGTGAAATTTTCAGATAGTTTAAGCGGTAGTTTAAATGTTTAGTTTCCACCCTAATAACGCAAGGCATTCACAATGTCTCTCGTCAAACATTTCTTTTACAAACTCCATCAGTTCAATGATCGCATGAAAAAATTAAATTCAGACCACCTTAATGTGCACATATCTGTAATATATAATATACACGCAAAATACTTCTAGTCTCTCCCGAATCTATTGATTTCACCGCAAACTCATTATTGAAATTATTAGAATTTTTGACAATTCAATATTTAATAGACTCAAGTTCAGTGCTTATCTCACGGTTATTGACCATTTACAAGAGCTGCTTTCTTTTTCTAATGTTGAGCAAACACATTGGCTTTAATTGATCGTCACTTTTATCAGTGTACGATTATTTCTTTCGATAACAAAAGTAAATTAGGTTAGGCACTTATACATATGTACATAATTAATTGGCTCTCAAAGCAAACAATAAGAGATTATCTTCTTATACTACCATTATCTACTGAATTATCTACAAACAATTATCGTAGTTATCATTTATGTATTTATGTGCAAAAATCCACGTGCGTTGAGGGAGCCTAGCAGTTGGGGAAATTCTGCCATAAGTGAAAACCTTCTTGAATGAGCTGGCACAGATCGAAGTACTTGAAGAGAATCCAAATTTTGGCCATCTACACGTATATATGTATTTCAACATAATGCTTTGTTGGTTATATACAACATATGGTCTGTATTTTAGGTTTGGAAGACTAAGTCGTGTTATTGTTGCCGACAAGTGCTTTTCTATAAGGTAGTTCCACTTGAAAACGTTTGAAACTAAACGTGCTTGCTCGTATTTGTTTGGCCTTATCCCTTATAAAGTATTCATCTCCGAAGCTATATATGGAATACACGAACGGATCAATTATAATATAAGGTTGTCAAATATCTGCCTCCGCTTTTTCGGCTTTTGAATTTCGCGGCTATGTACAAAGCGCTACAGAGCTCGTAGGTCTTGACATAACCTACAAAACAACGCTATGCATGATTAGTTTGGATATTGCGTTCAACAGTTATAGACGTGTAAATATGGAGTTCACTAACGCCGAAATTCGCGCTATTTTAAAGTTTTCCTTCGTTAAAGGCAAATCGGCTAGAAAAACGTTCCGTGAGATTAATGGTGTTTTGGGGGATGGTACACTATCACTTCGAACCGCGGAGGAATGGTTTCGACGATTCAGAGCCGGTGAAAACGACACCATGGATAAGCCAGCCGGCGGAAGACCTGTGACGACAAATACCGATCAAATCATGGAATACATCGAGTTAGACCGGCAAATAGCATCTCGTAACATCGCCCAGGAGATGGGAGTTAGTCACCAAACCATTTTGAACCATCTGCAGAAGGCTGGATACAAAAAAAAGTTTGATGTTTGGGTGCCGCATAATTTGACGCAAAAAAACCTTCTGGACCGAATCAACGCCTGCGATATGCTGCTGAAACGGAACGAACTCGACCCATTCTTGAAGCGGATGGTGACTGGCAACGAAAAATGGATCACACACGACATTATCAAGCGAACGCGGTCTTGGTCGAAGGCCGGTGAATCGTCCCAAACAGTGGCCAAGCCGGGGTTGACGGCCAGGAAGGTTTTGCTGTGTGTTTGGTGGGATTGGAAGGGAATCATCCACTATGAGCTGCACCATATGGCCAGACGCTTAATTCTACCATCTACTGCGAATAACTGGACCGCTTGAAGCGGGCGATCGACCAGAAGCGTCCAGAATTGGCCAACAGGAAGGGGGTAGTGTTCCACCAGGACAACGCCAGACCACACACTTCGTTGATGACTCGTCAGAAGCTACGGGAGCTCGGATGGGAGGTTTTATCGCATCCACCAATAGCCCGGACGTAGCGCCAAGTGATTACCACCTGTTCCTGTCCATGACGCCCTTGGTGGTGTGAAGTTGAACTCAAAAGAGGCTTGTGAAAAGTGGCTGACCGAATTGTCTTGGTTAATTTTCACTAGAACAGCCAACAGCAGATGACGGTGTGAAACCACGCAAAATGTGGCCAGACAAATTTGGTCATTGATCGAAGTGAACTGAACTAATTCATTACTTCTTCTAAAGAGTACTTCTATAAACCGAAACGAGTCATATATAGCATCTGTAGGCATCATTAATTTTCTAAACTTCATAAAATATACCAAGTGATTGGATTCACAAATGAAGGTGAGAGGAATCTCCTACACGGGACTAACAGAGGTATCACAACAGGCCAGCAGAGCTAAGTGCGCTTGATCAGTGTGCCTTCTTCGAACAACCTGTTCAACTAGCCGACTGACTATATTTTCAAATTTCAATTAATTATCGGTTAGATAAAATTCAAATATTTTGGAAAGTGTAGCCGACTAAAACGACTCTCCCACAAATAAATAATAATTAAAATAATATTGTGTGCGCTCACAAAAATTTTTTGTGCATTCAAACGTAGAGGTGGATATCGCAAATCCAGTCAGCTCCTGATTTTTTTAAATTCGTTTTGAATTTTGTTGGGTTAGTAAATTCCCTTTGCGATGCTTTCTAACAACTCAATTAAGTTATACAACAATCACAATGAAGTCCGCTATTTGGGGGTTGGGGGAAAAAAATGTAATACGCAATTTTTGATATTTAAATTTAAATGTTAAAACAATATTAAACATTAAATAAGTTTTATTCAAAAGTGGTAGAATTTTTGAAGAGAAGAAGGTAGAATTGCAGCTAATTGTAAAGAAATAATGTTTTTGTTGTTGTTGTAACGCAAAAATATTCCCCAAAGTACTTTTTGGGAATTGTTGCGGGAGTGACAGTCCTTGGCTTGATAAAAATTCGGGCCGTTCCAGTAAAAAGGCCCGACTGACGCGTGGACTATTGGACGTTAGTCACCTCTTACGACAGGTATGCCTTACCGCGAGTAAATTGGTGAACCCCTAACCCACAGGGAGCGTAAAGAGATAATGAAATTACCTGCATTGTTTCTAAGCAAGTTTCTACAAAGAGAATACTTTCCGAGAAGATCAATTTAAATTTTTTTTTATGAATTTTAGGTCTTTTCAAAGAGACAATGTCGTCAAGCTACTTGAAATAGATCGACATCATACGATATTTTCCAAATGTGCCAGTCTTTAAAGTTTTCGTTGCTGTTTCGGAGATCAAATGCAGAACTTAAACCTTTGAAATATTTGTTCTTGTACTAATTTTTCGTTTGGTTTTGCGATTCGTATTGTTTTCTTGACAATTTCAATTGATTTATTCTTTTTCGAATCAGTGTAAAACAAGATCTACAATACATCAATTCATTTGCAAATTTTAATGAAAAGAATTGGCTAGTTTCCTTTTGCCATCTCTCTCCATCGCATTGATGTGTATATGTATGATTTATTAGAGAGACTTCATGCTTAATGTTAACATTAGCTGTAAAGGTTTAATGAGAATCTACCTCACTTTCTTGCTAAATCTATAACCGAATGGGTGCTTAACGCATCAAACTCTTCTGAAGGTTTTTATACTACTTCTTTAGA